TAAAGTTTATCAAAGCATTTCTTAAAGAAATGTATTTTCATATATAACAAAACTCGGGATGTCATGTTCCGATACAAACACAAAAGCATAAACGGCACATTATAAGTCTTACAACAGTTATACATAACTACTGGCCTATAAACAAAATATCTTCACAGTTTGTCCAACTTATTCTCTCGCGCCACTACCTGTAATACAAATAAAACTGAGTGGGTCAGACTTGTGAGCATGGTGAGCATATAGGGTTTTCAACCCATAATAAATAATTATATTTAATTTCACCAACCAACAATAACCCGATTACCCATTTCCGTTATCATCACTTTACGTCCCCTAAAACAACATCTATTACCAGGGACCTAATCTAGGATTTTCATCGGGGTGGACATTACTATAAATGAGTTTCCTCAATAATAGATATCCTAAATGCAACCATGAGGGGGATAGAGTACACCGGTGAACACATCGTTCACAACACCTATAGGTTATGAACCTGCCAGCGTTCCCACCGGACAGTCTAGAAAGAGTTAGTGGTCGTCATCTACTCTGCTAGATGACTAGATTAACAACAACATCGAGCCCTTTCATCATTTTATTTCATCACACATCTACTACGTACTCATGTTCTACCCAACATCTTTGTAGATAAAAATATAAATATATGTACAACATAAAACATATATAAAACATTCAACCGATACTCATTTCAAATAACACATAATATATAAACACATAGCACATATTTTATGGAAATACTTCATATTTATATGTTAGAAAAAAAGTAACTACACACTCACATGATAAGATGATTATCAGACACCACTTCATCTCTTAAAATAATCTTTTCCGATAAAACCGGGACGTTTTCTCCAAAACCGGGCTTTACACGGGCAGAGTTTCGGCTTGAAAACTTTACTTCTCAGGATTCTCGGGATGATATCGGGGCTTCAAGGGTATTTCTTGCACGTAAAATGAGGAAATACGCGAGAGAGAGAAAAAGAGAAGAATTGTTGAGCAAAAAGATCGGCAACCTCGGCGTTCTATTTATAGTAGCGAGATCTTGGACTACGCTGGGAGTACCGAGGCCCTACGTTGGGCGTACTTCGGATAAGGGTGCCAGGTGGCGAAGTCTCTGTAGTGGAACGTGGCTCTTCCTCGTATGCAGGGGTACTTCGGTGTTGACATGTACGCGGGGCATACACCAAGTACGTTGGGCGTACCCTTTGGATCAGATCGGACTCGTCAAGATATTATCCGAATAAATAACTAAATTTATATATTTTAATTATTTAAAAACTTCAGAAAATCATATCTTCCTCATACGAGCTCCGTTTTCGACGTTCTTTATATCTACGTGTAGGCAAGACTATGATCGACAACTTTCATTTAGACTCGTCGGCTAATTTTGACTTTATTTATATTATATTATTTTTAGTAGGCCGGGACAGGAAAACTCCATTAGAAATTTATAACTTCTTCATCTGACGTCCGTTATTGTTTTTCATTTCACCGTTGGACTACTATCGACGAGATCTTCGATTCTCATTTAGATTGTTTCGTCCAAATATCACTCGATCTCAATTTCGAGATTTGGGTTGCATACTGCTAAGTCGAAACTTTAGAAAAATCATAACTTTCTCATACGAAGTCAGATTTAGGCATTCTTTTTATGCACGGTCTTGGTTTAACGAACTATACAAATTCCATTTAGATCGCTAAGGCTAAATATCTCTCTATCGTAAATTCACTATTTACGTCATTCAGTATCGTGCCGATTCTGTCGTGAAACTTCGATTGGTCATAACTTCTTCGTTGTAACTCGGATTTCGGCATTCTATATATATTCGGAATCCTTGTCATGACTACTACGTCTTCATGTATCGATATCAGTTTTATCTAACATTCTATTTTTTACGCTTATTTTTATTCTTAATTCAATTAAGTCACACAATTAAGCATAAAACACATAATACTCAAATAATATATTTTTATTATTTCAAAATGAGTTACAAAGATTATCCTAGAGTATTACATCGTTATTAATGCCTAGCCCAGAAACACGAGCATTACAAGCATGTTTGGTGGTTGCAATAGAAGGCAGATATGGAGGATGGGTTAGCGTGACGGCTATGGTATCATGAGAGACGGGGATTCACCATTTAAGTTTAGGGGTTAGTAGGTTGGGCTTTAGTTTTAGGGGTTCTTTTATAGGTTATATACATTAAAAATTAATCAAAGAGTCCCTAGCTCCCTGTTGTATGAGTATGACTTCCAAAACACAAATATTTAGCCTTTTTTATTATATAACCTTAAAATTTTAAATTATAATATATATATATATATATATATATATATATATATATATATATATATATATATATATATATTACGATTCGAATCATTAGTCGACAACTATGGTTGCGGTGATAACCCGGAAAAAATAGACTACCTTAAAAAAAATTAGGATATTTTTTCATTTTGATCCTGCCTCCACCAATAGGTAGTGTAATATTGGAATGGCATGTGCAAGTGGATGTTGGATGAACGATGTGGATTGATGATAATAACATGGAAAAAGAAAAAACAAAGAAAATTATATATATATATATATATATATATATATATATATATATATATATATATATATATATATCTTTTCTTTCTACCTAATAAAAGCCTCTTGTAAGTGCCACATGTCATTTTTATAAAACCCTACATTCCACGTGTCATATCTTCGGCTATCCTCTAATTTTTTTTCCCGCCCACTGCTTCTTTGAAGAATCAAGATCAGCATCATGATCATCTCCTACTAATTAGGTATTCGGTTACCATATTTTCGTTTATATTTTTGGAATGCATATCAATCGCTACAACAAGAAATTAGGAAATCTTCTCAAAATTTAAATTGGATCTTATCTCAACTAAAGCTCCTATCTTCAGCTTCTAATTTCCATTCCTTCTTCCCATCATCTGCAACTCACCAAATCCACTAGAATTATTGGTCCCCATTACTTAGTTGAGGTTACTACTCGACCTCATCCACAAACCTTATTTTCCCCCTTAATGCCCCTCTCTGCTTTCTTATTATGACTGCTCATATTCAGCCGTGGGATTTTCTTTTTTCTTTTCCAAATACATGTTTTAGATTACTGCCAGTGAAATTTATTTCAATTTCATATTTAAAAATCAGATATATGAAGGGTATGGAGATCAAATGGAGTCTTCTGATGGAAAGAGTACGTCTTTATATGTTTATCCATATGTTTTTTGGTGTCTTGAATCAGTAACTCTTTTCGCACACCACCTGTTTGATAAAATAACTAAACCAAATTGTATAATCAGAAAACTATGTAAATCAGGCGGTGAGAGTGATTTGTGTTCTTGGTTGTGTAGAGCTCTTTTTTGAGTAGGTTTTAATGTTTGAATCTTTAAATTTTGAAGGCTTTGAAATGTAATTATCATTTGTATTGCAATTTTTTGATCGTAGACAATGGTCTAATTAACACTCATATTTTGAAATGAAATAAGAACATTCAATGGATTGATTTAGCACTAACATACTTTTTTTTCTCTTTCATTTCAGTCCATAAAGTTACTAGAGTTTTAGTAAATGTCTTCCAACTGTTCGACAAGAGGTCTAACTCAAGATATAAATATGTTTATGATGATTTGCTTTTGTGTTGATTAGGTGGAGGAGGTGAATAAAAACCAACGCTAATTATTGGAAGGATGAAAAGTCATATATGGTGAAGTGTCAATACCTTCTACTTTTGGTTTTTAGCTAACCATAGTGAATGGCAATGTGAGAAACAATATGTATATTACTGGGATTTCATCATGTTTTCGCACTGATATGAACAACTGGTTTGAAGCCATCATTGTACTAGCTCTACAACTACTTTTAAAGCACTTGCCAAATATAATACAGCCTTGTGGAGTAAGGGTGAGTGAAAATTCTGCATCTCAAACATCATTTTGGCTTGCCAAATATCTGTCACTCAATTGTTTTGGGATATTAGATAGAAAACAAATTATGCTATTATGTCGGCACAAATTGCCTTTGATTGTACTGTAAGCTACATATTTTTTTCCATATGAATTGATGTCTATACCCCCACGGTTTCATTAGATGCTTGAAAAAGTTGAATTATATTTAAATCTCGTAATTTATTGAATTATATTTCATTATATTTGGAAAAAAAAATATTGTTTTATAAAAGATATTGTTTTGTTAAATAATTTATAGAATAGTGATTATTAAAAATGGTTTTTATATACGCAAGTTACATTAAGTTATTTTTTAGTTTTAAAAAAAGTTCTTACTTTAAAAAAATTAATTTCATTGTTATTTTCAATATATCAAATTTTATAGGTGATGGTATGCCATCATTATTTATTTATTTATTAACTATCACAAAAATGTAATAAATGCTATGTTCTTATTATTTATAATTAATTTATAAATTATTTTTAAATAAACATAAAATATTTAATAATATATTGTTTCAATGTGTTATATAAATAATTGTTCTTAAATTTTCTTATTAATTGTTACTTTTTATTTTTGTTATTTTAAAATTTCAACCACCGTGTTTTACACGGGTTATAACCTAATATATATATATATATATATATATAAGAACTCTAGTTATGGAAAGGACGTTGATATTGCCACGACTATCTTTGATGCATCCACTGAAAAAATCTGTATGTGACAATTATGCCTCTGTTAACTTTAAATAAAGTAACCCCATTTTTGTTTCATAAAACACAAACCTGAATAGTAGTTGCTACTATTAAGAATTATTAACTGAAGTAAATTATATGTTTGAAAACATCTTCGTATTCCCATCATGAGCGCACATCCCAACATGCAACCATCATTCTTCTGATGCTGGTGTCTTCAGCGCTTCAAGGTGCGTTCACGGTTCAAGAAAAGAAAATCACTCACCATTTCTCCGTTGATTAAAGCTTCTAATGAGGGTGCTTGAGTTGTTGAAATGAATCTGCTGCAAGCCATGGCCACCGTTAATTTCTGGCTACCAATTTTACCGATGGTGTTTGCTGAAGAAGAATTGGCCGAAGCAGTGTCGGCTGAGGAAGAATCGATAACAAAGGTTTCAAAGAAGCATCCCATCTCGAAGGCCACTTTATATCACTCAAAGCAAAGAAGACCTCATAAGTAAACTACCTTTTCTCACAACCATGTGACTGAAGCACGATAACATTTTATTGATTTTGACTATTTCCTAGAAGTTTTAATATCTTATAACAAACTAACATCGTGATTCATGCTGGTGGAACTTCAAAACCCACCACCATGTACTCATGTAACCTTCGTTGTTCGTTTTGCTGCTATGTGTGATTATTCAGCACCATCACCATTCCCAATGATGCCGACACGTTGTTTTTTTCACTGTTTATGAGCTAAAACTCTAAAATTCAAATGATTGAGGAAATATTAAACCTCTTTAACTTTTATTCCGATAGGATACCCAATTCATCGTAGACTATATCCATTTTTTTAGTGTACCGAATTGTAGGAAGATTATCGGTAGTCAAGTTAACGTGATACATTTTAGTTGATTATTTCTCTTAGAGCACTAGGTGTAGGAAACTAGATGTAACACAATTTTGGTGCCACATCACATGCCACATCGCCAATGGTGTTATAATACCAAGTGAGGAAATGGTCACCATACTGTATCTTGTTATGACACAAACTTTTTTTTTCCATTTTATAATTTATTTTATTTTTTTTTCGATTTTTTTTTAAATATTGACAAATATTTTTTAAATATAACATAATAAATAAAATGTAATTATAAATAACATATAATTTTTTTTTAAAGATTAAAATTAACATAGAGACTAAATTACACATAATATCCAAAAACAAAAAAGAAATAACATCCAAATTCAAAAAAAATACAAAGCTATTCGTTATCGTTATTGTTACCATAGAAGATATAATCCGCCAAGTCCTCTCGAAGTTGTATGTGTTTATTTGCGTCCTTAATGTCAACAATGCGATGCAAATAATTTGCTGTTTCTGGTTGAAACCGAACGTGTCTAGGCTCCGTTGGGATATAGTGTGCAATATTTCGCCCTTTATCTTCTACTACCATGTTATGCATTATGGTACATGCATACATGATATGTCGTAGAGTTTCTAAATCCAATGGTCGTACTGCATGTTCGACTATATGCCACTTCGCCTTTAACACTCCAAAAACACGTTCCACATCCTTACGTGCTCCTTCTTGTCTTATCTTAAAAAATTGTCTCGTTCTTCAACCGGGTGGCAGAATGCCTTCACGAATGTGGAATACGGAGGATATATTCCATCTGTAAGGTAATACCCATATTTGTATTCGTTTTCATTCACCGTGAAAGGAGCATTCAGGGTTTTTCCATTCAAAAGATCGTCGGATATTGGCGACTAATCAAGAACGTTGACGTCGTTGCTGGAACCCGAAACCCCAAAAAATGCATGCCAAATCCATAAATCTCGAGAGGTGATAGCCTCTAAAACCAACGAAGGTGACCCGTGATGACCACTTGCGTATTGCCCTTTCCATGCTACTGGACAATTTTTCCATTTCCACTGTGTGCAATCAATGCTTCAGATCATTCTGGGAAACCCATGGCGTTCTTCATGCACCGCATACAATTCTTCCAAATCATGCAACGAAGGCTTCCGCAAATACACGTCTTTAAAAGTTTCAACAACACCCCTTGACAATGTATACAAACTCTCTCTTGCGGTTCTTTCGGACATTCTCATATAGTTGTCAATGGTGTTGGGTGACTCCCCCATAGCCATCAAACAAATGGCCGCAACACATTTCTGCAACGTTGTAAACCCTCGTCTACCTCTAGCATCATATCTTAATTGAAAAAATTCGTACCTAAACATAAATTAACTACAGTTTAAAAATATATTGCATATGTTGTAAAATTAAAGAGTAGTACATTTTTATTTATTTTGTATAAAAGTATAGTAAAGAAGCGATACCGGCTTTCCAAAGCGTTGACGATTCGTAAGAACACATCCCTACTCAAACGAAATCTTCGTTTGAAGTCCTTCGCCCTGTATACACAATTATCCGCAAAGTAATCGCGATTTCTGTTTAACATCGCACGTCTTGTTAGTAGCGGGGCTGAGTCTGGTTGTAATAGGTCGGTAGTGTAATAATGATATATCATCCTAAAGAAAATATCGTCATCTGAATCATCGGACGAGTCGAAAGGATCCATATTTTTTTTTAAGATAATTGAAAGTATGTAGAGAGGAGAAGAGAAAGTGTGTGAAATTTTTTATAAAATGGTAGGTATTTATAGGGCAAATGTTTTTTTTTAATAGTTATTTTTTTCAAACCGTTGCATTTAAACATTATTAAACGTTTAAATTTTACTCGTCACATCCAGTCGCCTTGGCCACGAGATTCACCATCGACGAGCAAAAACGAATAGGGGGGAGGTGTCCCCCCCCCCCCGGTCATGATGCTGTTGAGGGGTGCCACCTCACCCATGTTTCTTTTCGTTTGGACCCGTACCGGATGCTCTTAAAGTCTTGAATACGTCAATTGATAAGGATATGATTTGCATTAAAATATCACACTTTCATTCTTCAACATTTTAAACTTGTTGTCACTTGTAACGTAAGTTTTCGATGAGTTTCGATCTCCCATTAGAGGCTCACCTATGTTTTCTGCTTTATATTTTGTGCCTTCAAGACGCTTCTTACACAAGGGTAAATATATTATTCATAAGGAATTTATGTATCTATTGAGGTCAATAAATTGACTTTTATAGATAAGATTACTCACGTCGTATTTTATAGGGGAAAGTAGCAGAAGATCATGCGTTTTTTTAAACATAGATTGGTATTTGGCTCTCTTTAGTAAAGATGGACATAATTGTCAATCCATATTTTTTCCAGTGGAAGCATTAAAAACGGTCGTGCCAATATCTAAGGGTGAGCAAAAACCGAACCGACTAAAGAAAAACCGATAAAACCGCAATAAACTGCAACCGAAAAACCGAAACCGATGCAAAAACCAATGGTGCGGATTTAATTTTTGCAAAAACCGAAGGTCAACGGTGCGGTGCGGTTTCTATCCTAAAAATCAATCCATCAAAACCGAACCGCACCGCAAGCGCGTATAGTAATAAATCAATCAATGTATATTATATACATTCTATTGAAAATAGTTATAAACGATAATATATGTATTATATGTTTATTTTGTGTTTGTATAAAACTATATGGGGTGCAAAAGAAATGTTCTACTGTTAGCCAAACGTACCAATCGATTACATGTAATAAGCTTATAACAAATTAACTCAAAATCAACCAACCTTCAATCATTAATTAGTTTGTGAGAGTGGTCACAAGTTGTATTTTAAGCGACTTACAATTTTTGATTATGTAATTTTGTTTTGAGCTGAAAATGAATGTATTAAAAAAAACAACACAATACAAGCTTATATGCACATGGTTTTCAGTTCTTACAGTTTTAAAAAACCGCACAAAAAACATAAAAAAAACTGCACCAAATTCTTAACACGGTTTAAAAACCGAAACCACACCGATACAAACCGAAACCGCATTTAAAAACCGAAAAACCGAACCATTGCAAAACCGCACCCAACGGTTTTAAGAATGCAAAAACCGCACCATGCGGTTTGCGGTTCGGTTTGGTCTGAAAACCGCACCAAACCGCACCATGTTCACCCCTACCAATATCACATCCCTTGTGGAGAGATGAAAAGTATGATAATTTTTCGATAGATTAGGATCTGCTATAATTTTTTTGAACAAACATACGATTTTGCGCTAATTTAACAAATTTCAGACAATCTTTTGTTTAAAACATTCAAAGATTTGATTGTGAAAATATCAAACGGACCATACATATTATTGACAACTAAAAAACAATTTTACAATGATTCTAACCGAAAATGGATGGTCGAAGATTATAAAAACAAAAGCAAAAAGACCCATTAAAGATGCAATGAATTATTGTCACTTTACTTTTCGTGGCATCACATGGGTCAATCCCGAATCCCCACCATCTCTTTTCTCTTATCTCACTTCGCACACGGCAAAAAGAAACAGCTCTGCGTTTTAGTTTTATCATGTAAAATTCCAAGCTATACCCAATTCGATTCACATTACAACGGTTTGATTTCATCATTATCTTCAATTTTTCAATACTTCTTTAGTTCGTATTCGAGTTCCGAGGGATTCTATTAAAAAATCGTGTTTGGGTAAAGCTTAATTCGTCAAGAACACTCATTTTCTTCCACTTTTCCATCTTGGTTTCGCCCCAATTGAAGCTCGAATACAGTCATGAGTATGTACGGCAGAGATCCGTGGGGTGGGCCGTTGGAGATAAACACGGCTGACTCCGCGACAGACGATGACCGGAGCAGGAACTTGAACGACTTCGACAGGGCGGCGCTTTCTCGTCCATTAGACGAAACGCAGCAGAGCTGGCTGTTAGGTCCCGGAGAACAGAAGAAGAAAAGGTACGTAGATCTGGGGTGTATCATCGTCAGCCGTAAGATATTTATTTGGACGGTTGGAACGATTCTAGCAGCTGGTTTCATCGCCGGAATAATTACAGTTATAGTCAAGAACGTTCCTAGACATCACAAGCATCCTCCAGCACCAGATAACTACACTATTGCACTCCACAAAGCTCTCATGTTCTTCAATGCCCAAAAATGTAAGACACCACCTTTCTACTTTACTCAGATCTAATGTCGTAATGTTCTTTTGTTTAATTCCTTATTCCTCCATCGCGATTGCTTCCTTTTCAGCTGGAAAGCTTCCGAGGCATAATAATGTTTCATGGAGGGGTAATTCGTGTTTAAACGATGGAAAATCGGACAAATCAGGAGCTGTAATGAAAGATTTAGTGGGTGGATATTATGACGCTGGAGATGCGATAAAGTTTCATTTCCCTCAAGCTTGGGCCATGACTCTGTTGAGTTGGAGTGTGATTGAATACAGTGGTAAATACGAAGCTGTAGGAGAACTTGCTCATGTTAGAGATATTATCAAATGGGGCACTGATTACTTTCTTAAAACCTTCAATTCTTCTGCTGATAGCATAAGCCAACTCGTGGCTCAGGTTAGCTTCAAATCTTCTTTCATTATGAATCGAAATTGGGAAATGAAAATTCTAAAAAGCATGATGTTTCACAGGTTGGAAATGGTGATACATCGGGAGGAACAAGTGATCCAAACGATCAAACTTGTTGGATGCGACCCGAGGACATTGACTACCCACGACCCGTAACCACATGTTCGTCATGCTCTGACCTGGCAGCTGAGATGGCAGCAGCATTAGCTTCAGCTTCCATTGTTTTCAAGGACAACAAGATCTACTCAAAGAGACTTGTCCATGGTGCTGAAACGCTTTGGAAGTTTGCTAGAGATCAACGTGGTTTGTATAGTGGTGGTGGATCAGATGCTGCAACTTATTACAATTCGAGTATGTATTGGGATGAGTTTGTGTGGGGTGGAGCTTGGATGTATTATGCAACGGGGAATCAGTCGTATTTGTATCTTGCTAGTCACCCGACTTTAGCTAAGCATGCGGGTGCCTTTAAGGGAGGATCGAATTATGGTGTTTTTAGTTGGGATAACAAGCTTCCTGGAGCTCAAGTAAGTTTTCTTGTATTGTGTTTGGCATATATTAGTCATGTCTCATTGACATCAGTCTCAGTCGAGTCAATGGGACAAAAACTGCAATTTTGTCCAACCCAAAAAAGCGGGACTGAGACTGATGTCAATATGACAAAAATTGCAGTTTTTGTCCCACCCAAAAAGGCGGGACGGAGAATTGCTTTTTGATCTCTTGTTTGTGTAAAAGACGTAAATACCCTCGTCGTAGAAAATAGCCCTAGAAAGCTTGTCTGACATTGTCAAGTTGTGTCGTGTCCCATGTAACAAACGCACTGCGTTTGTTACATGAGACGTAACTAGATGTGCCAAGGCAAGATTTCTAAGGCTATTTTCCATGACGAGGGTATTTATGTCTTTTACACAAACAAGAGATCAAAAACAATTCTCTGTCCCGCTTTTTTGGCTGGGACAAAAAACTGCAATTTTTGTCTTATTGACATCGGTCTCTGTCTTGCTTTTTCGGGTTGTGGACAAAATTACAGTTTTTGTCCCATTAACATCAATTTGTCCTGCCTTTTTGGGCAGGACAAAATTTGAAAATTTTGTTGCATGGACATGTGTCCCTATGTTATAATGCATTAGAGACTCTACATCATTGTCACCATTATTATATCTTGTAGGTACTCCTGACTCGATTAAGATTATTTTTAAGTCCCGGGTACCCATATGAACAAACATTGAAGACGTTTCATAACCAAACAAGCATAATCATGTGTTCATACTTGCCATACTTCACAAGTTTTAACCGAACAAGAGGTAGTAAATTACTAAATTACCCAACCCTCTATTTCCTTTCTTATTTTAACCATAAACTAAACTATTTTCATGTTGTAGGAGGGATGATACAATTGAATCATGGAAAAACACAGCCTCTTCAGTACGTTGCTAATGCAGCCTTTTTAGCGACCCTTTTTAGCGACTATTTAGATGCTGCAGACACTCCTGGGTGGTATTGTGGACCGAATTTCTACTCAACTGATGTGCTAAGGGAATTTGCTGAGACTCAGGTATTCTTTCATTTGTCATGTTAGCTTTGTAATTTATTTTTTCAAAAGTGGGCCCACTGTTGTTAATTTATTTTTTACTTTATAATATTTGTTAAATTTAACGGTAATGTAATAATTTGTTATTTAGTTAGTAAATATAATTATTTAAAATTTGTAGTTTAATGATAAAAGATATTTCATTTATCAAGATATTTAAGAAACTCTTTAGTTGATAAAATAACTATAATATAAAGGGATATCCACAATAATATTTACTTTGTATATATTTACTTTTCAAAGTATGTATACCCGTGTTGTATAGTTTTATATATACTACATTTTAGAATTATAATATATTTACATAAATCAATGTTAAATTTTAATTAAATGTTTACTATTTTAATTTTTTTTAAAGAATAACTCATTTTTATTTATCTTGCGACTGATTCTCTTCTGTCTTCTTAATTTGTTCAAAACTTTTGTACTTATTAGGACTAATATTATAAAAGCCATAAATTTTTAACGTGTAATTGGAAAAAGCCTTAATATTTTTTTTATTGCTATGGCCACAACTTTTTCTTAGAATTATCATTCTAGCCCACTTAACAAGTTTCATGGTTAAGTTGGTTAACTTTTTTTCAAATTCAATCCTAAAATGTTCAAATTTAGTCCCTAAGGTTCGCAAAAAATTACACCATATGGTTTTTTAACTTTATTTTTCGTTTTCTGTATACTTTATTTATTTTCGTTTTTTTTATAAATATATATATATATATATATATATATATATATATATATACATTTTTTATTTTCTTTTTTTAACTTTATTTTTCAACAATTTGATTTTTTTTACCTTTTTACCTTTTGTTTTCTATTTTTTTTTTCTATTTTAGTTATTTATGGTTTTTCTAATGTTTTTATTTATTTTGATTGAAGTAAGCGAACTTAAATTCAATATAAATTACTATAACAAGTTTTTTTTTTATAGAGACCGACTATTATTATTTTTTTGTTCTTTCTTTTAGTCTATTATTAAATTGAAAAATATCATCTTGAATTTAAACCATTGATATCACATATAGAAATATGATTTAATTTGAAAGTTATACAACACACTGAAACACTAATTCTCAATAAACAAACTAATTTTTTTTTAATTTTT